TACTCTACTCTACTCTACTCTACTCTACTCTACTCTACTCTACTCTATTCTATTCTACTCCCATCTGTCAGAAATGATGCAGGGTCTCCTGCTTTGGCAGGGGGTTAGACTAGATGACCTACAAGGTCCCTTCCAACTCTGATTATCTGTTATCTGTTAAAGCTATTCTATTCTATTCTTTTCTATTTTTTCCTTTCCTTTCCTTTCCTTTCCTTTCCTTTCCTTTCCTTTCCTTTCCTTTCCTTTCCTTTCCTTTCCTATCCTATCCTATCCTATTCGACTCCCATCTGTCAGAAATGATGCAGGGTCTCCTGCTTGGGCAGGGGGTTGGACTAGATGACCTACAAGGTCCCTTCCAACTCTGATTATCTGTTATCTGTTAAAGCTATTCTATTCTATTCTATTCTATTCTATTCTATTCTATTCTATTCTATTCCCATCTGTCAGAAATGATGCAGGGTCTCCTGCTTTGGCAGGTGGTTAGACTAGATGACCTACAAGTTCCCTTCCAACTCTGATTATCTGTTATCTGTTAAAGTATTCCTATTCTGTTCTGTTCTATTCTGTTCTGTTCTGTTCTGTTCTGTTCTGTTCTATTCTAGCATCCAATTCAAGCACCTATTCTTCATGTCCCCCTTTTGTCCCTCCCATTCTGAGTTCTGACTTTACCTAGTTCTCCCTCTTGGGAGCAGGAATACTGGAGCACAACTCAAGATTTCTTTGCATTTCACAGAACGGATGCTCAGAGGAAATTTGTAATGTCCGTGTGTGGTGGGTGGGTGGGGGGAGGGAAGCTGCCTTTCCTGATAGAGGTCAACACCTTACCAGACTCCGTTGTGACAGCTTCAACCCCTCACAGCTTCAACAGCCTCAAACCGTCCCTGTCTTACTGTCCCCATTTATCTGTATTTATTTCCTTTGTTCCTGTTTATGTTCATACTTACACTTGTTATCTTGTACGTGTTTGACAAACAAATAAATAGATATTTTTTTTTAAAAAAATCACCTCCTCTGTTCTTGCTCTCCCTGCAGGTGAAATGTTCCTGCCCCATTACACTGGGCTTTTGATCGACATCCTGGGCACTAAATATGACGCAGAAGCCTTTTCCACGATCATCTTTCTTCTCTGCCTCGTCTCATTTGGAAGGTGAGCTTATTCCAGGCCCCATTAACATATTTGCTGCAGTTGCCCTTAAATACCTAAAGAAGGCCTGGAGTTATGATTCTGTTATCGCCCGGCATTATGACCACAAGATGGTAGAAGGGAGTGATCATGTTGGATGAAGATGTTGGTTTTTTTTTCTTCTTGCCAGTTCTAAGGAAGCTATTGGTTGTTGTCTTCTTTGAGGATATGTTTTGACTTCGCAGTGTAATTTCTACTCTGGTATTTCCTTGTGGCCTCCCATCCAAATGCCAGCCAATTTGATGCTGCTTAGCTTTTTGAGACCAACCCAGCTCTGCCAGATCCCGACTGCAACTATGGTTTCGATGGTGGCTTCACACATGTTGTAGTCCCAGAGCCACCTACTTTGGGGGACCGACCCTCCCCACCCACCCATACGCTTGTCGTTTCTTTTTTTTTTTAAACAAATTTTATTAGTTTTTGAAGACAAACAAAACATAAACCTTGTACACATTAAACCTCTTTCCCTTGTAAATTTTACAAGGCAGATAATACAATATTTTATACAGTGTGATTTTAATATATCCCATTTCTACTTAAATATCTTTTAACACTCTCATTTCTTCTCATTAAATTTAATCATCATATTCATATTTCCCTCTGTCTTGTTTGCAATTATTCTCCTCCCGCTTTCCTCCAAGGTTTTACTAAATCTCACATAGACATAGACACACAAAACACATAAAGTAAAACTTCTTTTTCAAAAAAGTAGCTTGGCCCCGGATTACCACTCTTTGTATGGACTTCAATTAAATTCATATTCATCTTATATGCCATTACCTATCTTAATTACCATTCTGTAATTTCTTTATAACTTCTCCCCGCTTTCCTCTCTTCTTAATTCTATTTTGTTTATTAACTTAATTTAAATCATTATATTTCTATCCTTTGTCCATTGTTTTCCAATTGTCTATATATTTCATTCCCCATAGTAAAATAAAAGAATTTCTCCTGAAATCACAAATCAAAGTATGATGCCTTTCCATCGCACCTCTAAATTAACATTTAAGGTAACTCCAAATTCCCTATCTGATTCTGCTTAGTACATACTACTTACAAAAAGAAAATAGTGAATCCATAACATAATTAAATATATCATTAAACATTAAATCTTATAACATTCCAATTATCTATTTCAAAAGCAAGTATTACAATAATATATTCATACTAACATCCACACAATAGTCAATTAAAATCTATATTTAAACTAAATATTTTAGACCTTCCTTTTAATATTTTATTAAATCTTAAATTCTACCATTATTAAACCTTTAATATTTTAGTCTTTACTCAAATCTTATAAAATTATAATTTTCTATTTCTAATACAAATACTACAATACTATCATATGTACCTTGCAGAATCCTTTTAAAACCAAATTATATTACCCTTTATCCCTAAAAAACCATTGAATGATATCTTCAGGAGAGATATTTGTTGTATTTGAGTTGCTTATGATATTATGAACTTTGGTGATGTCATCTGATTC